GACATTTCAAACGCTTAATGACGGATCACATATTTGAATTAATAACGTTTGCTAGCCCACATAGTTTGTAACAGGCGGTATTTGAAGACAACACGTGAATTGACTCTAATACTCTAATAACCCCTCCATTCGCTTACTTCCAGGGAGCGTCGAACTACGAGGGGTGGTCCATTTCTGCGTGGGTTCTCTCTTAGTATGATCAGGTTAACTGAAACACAAGCCTCCACAAGCAGCTACGGGATAATGAACAATAACTATCATGAAAGTTAATTAGCCCCTAGCAGTGCGAGGAGGACAGGTAAGCTTATCCTGCTGATTGCACTTTGCGAGAATCCCTGCAGAGTTGGGTCAATCAACGTAATCCGATGGTCCGTTTGTAAATGTGGCCATATATAGAGACCTGCTCTGTTCATTTCTTCAATAAAAACTTATGGAGAAGCAATTTAGACCAACATTTTATTTCCACCCCAAAAAGTTAAACATTATTGTCTATTTCTCGCGTATTTGCTAAATTTATAGCCTTAAGTAAAATCCTCGTAAAAAATCAATGAATCGACCTCCATCATTACAAGTAAACTTTCTGAGAACAAAAGAGTCAGTAAAATACATCAGTAATGCATTTCCTTCAGGCATGTTATTGGCATAACAATTGGAAGATATGGACTGGGCGCAAGATAATTCCTTCCCGAATAACACTTCAACTACATTTAGCATGATTTAGGGACGCATCAAATGACATTTCCGTAGGTTTAAATATTGACCGCACTTACGTACGTTAAATACACAGTTTGATACGTTTTTGTGATATCTGATATGTGTATTTTGAAACCAAATGATAAGATATCCCCAGGAAGAGTATTTGTAACCCCGTGTCATTTACTGTTTCATAAATTAATGTTTGTTCTAGTATTTTATCCAAAAATATGATTTATGTTGTAAGTTTTAGTGCTGTTATTATTATTATTATTATTTTAAAAAGGCTTTTTTAAATAAACAAATAACATGATTGGGGTATCGTTATTATTATTCCTTGAGAACTACCTGACAAGGAAAGGTTTTAATCAATTGTATTTATTTATAAAATTCTAATAAGATGTTCACAAATAATATAACATTAATGTTACTGCCAAAATATGGTCAACGGCATATACTAACAAAATGTGCAGTATATGCATCAGTTGGATTTTCCGTAGACTCGTTCATCAATTGACAGAGGAAAGTCTTGCACTTGCCTTGTGGAAAGTCCATTTCTTTTTTTTTTAACAATCCCATATAGTGACATGCATAGGTTTTAGGTGGGAAATGCATGAGTGGTGGCGTCAAACCAACTGATTATCTTTCCATCCATGGGACGATAATTCACGCATTTATCTAAATCACTTTTCTGTTTGAAACCCCTTTTACAAAGACCCAAAAGCATTGATCTTGTCATATAACATGTAAAAGCCTTTTTAAACATTTGAGGCAAATTTGAGAGGCCCATTAGTCTGTGATGAGCTTTTGTTAACGATTAGGCAAACAGGATGCCAAATATCACAGATATATCAAAACACTTTGAAGATTGAATGTTAGGGTTTCAATTTGCAGACGACACATGGGTTCCAAACAGAACGATGATCAATACATCACCCTGGGGAACTTAGAATTGAGTCACCTTTTTTTTAATTGTTTCCTCTCTGTCGCAGGCTGTTTTTTTTTTTTTTTTTTTTTTTAGTTTGCTAGTTCAAATATATTTTAATGTTTTATCTCTGTTTGAGCGTGGTGTTCAGTATCAAGTTACGAACACTGCGTATTTATATGACTTGGTGCCCTCTTATTGTCAATTAGAGAACGACTACCGTCAGGACAGCAGTCAGCATAAGATCAATCACCATGAGGACAATTCTGTATTTCTCTATCACACTGTTCATCACAGGTAAATATGTTCATCTTGTGGTTATTCTTACGCGGGACAGGCACAACATTATTACCCAGTGCGCAAGTGTTTTATCCATTTATCTCCTTAGTAGCTTGTTTATGAGTGTATTTCGCTTCTGTGTTCATTCATTTCCCCGTTCATTTCTCTGTGTTCATTTTCTTTTCCTTTTTATACATTTGTAGTTACTTTTCATTCTTGTCTATACTTCTTTCCTCAATCGTCATCCCCCTCTCTCTATTTATATTTATCTATCTATTGTAATTGGCACATTTAAGATAAACATAAAGCACATACCCAATGGTCAATTTTCAGGTGTCCACTGCAATGAGGACTTGGATAGACTGACTGAGCACGTGACAGCTCGGTCCAAACCTCTCGTGATGCCGGTGTCCAGGGATACTGGACGCGTTACGGTCACTGCCCAGATGTACTTAAGCCAGATTTTTAATTTAGTAGGTTTATTGCATTTCCCACCTTCGTTGGTTTACTTGTTTGTGGACAGGGTATCTCAAAACGTTCTGCACAGATTTTAAACTAATTTGTATGGCACATGACCCTCCAAGGATAGATTACGGGGTATTTTTAAGAGTAAGCGGCAGACACTATTTTCTTAAGTAATGATATAAGCTGTTACGATTTTTCAATTCTAATAATGACTTCTAAAAACAGTTCAGTAACGGGGGCTTTACGTTTTGTGTAAGACACTCGTATAAATGCCATAAAAGTTCTGCTTTAAGCCGAGGGAACGCTTTGGGGTTTGAAACAGTGTACTGTGAAATTAATAACGTGTTTTAAGATTGTCATTAATTTTTTTCGGATACGTGCTTTCGAAGAGTAAAGTTTCAGCTGCCTTTACGTTGACCACGGCTCAAGACTGACAGGCAGATCTACCGGGGTAGATCAGTTGTCCCTATCACAAAATCATGTCAAACAAAAAGTCTTTATAGTAACCAATGTGCTCTCTGTGATCGTACTATGTTTCAATTCAGGACGAGGTGCACCAGCTGTTGTCATTTTCAGCTATCTTCCTAGTGGTAAGTAAATGTGGGCTCACAGAGAAAAATGCTTGCATCTTATGAGACTAATGAAATTGTTTTATTTTATATATATATATATATATATATATATATATATATATATATATATATATATATAATTTTTTTTTTTTTTTGCAATTACTTTAATTTTTAAATTGTGAAAAATTTTTCCTAGACACTTATTCCAATTTAATTTGACTCTTAATCTAACTTGATTAACGATAGTGCATGTTCTTGGCAATAAGACAACAACCCAGCAGGCGTAGTGACGATGGATCAACGTTGAAAACGGGTTGTGACGTTGAATTGCCGTTGATCTACCTAAATTCAACGTAAAATCAGCGTTGATCCAGCCACGTCAAATCACCGTCATAATGTGACGTTGACTCAACGTTGTTGTTTAGTCGTCGTCATGCAAGACATGGATTGAAATTTAAAATATTAAATATTGAAAATGTGATACTTTGTTTATCAATAATGTAACTAACTTCATCAAAATATTAAAAACGGTGTTTTAAAGTAAAAGTGACAGTTGTTTTGTGTCTTAAGTGAACTAGTGAATTTTCTTAACTTGTTATTCAGAAATACATTCCAATAAACTTCCTCGCAAGGTCAGCTAACACTAGGATGAATAAGTCGCTGTAAATTTGATGAAATGAAGTTAACAAAGGTGACAGTTCTCGGTACACTGTTATAGATAGAAAGGTGGAAGTGACTGTGACTTTGTTATATATATATATATATATATATATATATATATATATATATATATATAACTAAACCTTGGAAACCCTTACTTAAAGGCTATACATACATGTATATACCCTACATATATTTAGCCATTAAACATGTCCTACTGCTAAACACATCCAGGCTAAAAGGGTGTACCATGCTTAGGTGCAAAACATGCTAAGGAGCTGAATGCGTTGAAAAAAATCAGACAAAGCAGGCACTTGGATGTTTTTACAGTGTACGTTATAATTGTGTACCTGTGGTTTGAACCAAAAGTAAAAACATTTCAGGTAATTTTAATGTCTTTTCATGCAAGAATGTTGTCTAACAACTGGGGTTGATACAATGTTGTTATCTGACGTTGATACAACGTTGTTATTTGACGTTGATACAACTTTCAAATCCGTCTTATCAACGTTATGGTTCAACGTTGTTTCAACGTTAAAACAACATAATTTGCCCGCTGGGAAGAGGACCATCACCAAGGTCAAAATGCATGTGTTTTTATTGAAATAAGAAACAAATGTGCTTTTCCATTCAAACCTGACTCTAGAAATGGAACGACCGACGCTTGGCATGGAACGCCTCAGAATATGGAAATATTTCCAGCATTGCTCTGCCTCTGTCGTCATTGTGGATTCCTGACTTGGAGATATCGAACAGGTAAAGGTATTTTGTAATTTTGTATTTACTAGTACGTGTACATGAAATCAGTTTATATTTGTTTAATTTTATCATTAACATATTTTTTTGTTCATTAATGTACGTATTTATCAGTAATACATAATACTTGCAAAGAAATGTGTGTTCTCATTTTATGCCAAGTACGCTGCAAGTAGCTGAGTTCTGAGTTGTGTATTTATCATCTTCCCACCAGCAGCGACCCATGGCAACACCGAGGCCTATCATTTCATCACCACTGCACTGAGTTCTAAACTTCATTCAGAACGCCAATATCATGCTTTGCTGAAATACCTCATGTATACCTCATATTAACCATGTGCTCTTATCTTAAAAGGCGGTATATAATGAAAATAATTGGAATTCTTAAACATTAAGAATTACAGCTGAAATAAGTATGTATTAAAAAGAAAAACATCATATTTTTTTTTTACTTTATCGTTTCCAGTGCAGACGAGAATACATTGCTTTACAGGAGCTCTGGTCCGGCTAATTCCGTAAAATGTCGGATATTTTCGGACGGTAACGTGCAGTGGACGCCGCATCGCAGGCTATTGACTGTGTGTACCGTAAATGTTTTAACTTATCCATATGATTACCAAGACTGTAACGTTGAGATTCACTCGACCACTATGACTGACGATGTCCTTGATCTACACTATAAGCCGGCTAATAACAATAACACTGTTGATGAGGACCTCTCGGATGATGATCATTACGATTTAACTCTATCCTCAACATGGACACTGGTGGCCAGTAATGTCACGAAAGTCCATCACCATACCGACCATGACAGGATTACCTATCTGATATATTCCATTCGTATTCAGCGCCGGTTCTCGTTTTTCTCTCTGGTAATGCTGTTGCCGTGTGTGCTCCTGGCGGCGCTTACTCTGACTATATTCTGGTTATCACCGCAGACGACAGACAAGATGTCCATGGGTAGGTTTTCCTTTCTTAGCTTTACCAGGAAGCACACATTTGGAAACCTCGGGTCATTATGCATATGAATCTTGGTAACTTGCTTCTGAGATGCTTTGCTGTCTTAGCATTTAAAATAAAAATATCACTAAAATGTCACTAAATGTCAAATGGCAATTCACTTTTTCATACTTATTCATCAAATTTTGTTTGCAAATAACAGTAGCCAATATAGTACCTGCAATTTTGAAAATTTATATTACATGTATTAATTGCAAATAGTGACATTTACATTTCAGACATTAAAAAGAGTGTTATTGTATTTTCTGTTCATTTTAGGAATGGCAATATGGACGTGTTTTTGCGTGATTCTTCTTATTCTCGTTGAGGTTATTCCTGGAAATGGAAACGAACATCCAATGATAGGTAGGTATGGATTTACCCCGGTACTTGCACCTTACACAAGAAAACGCTTTATATTTTGGTTACATTTCATTACGTTTTTAAATTCAGTTTTATTAATTAATTAATTTATTTATTTATTATCACAAAGGAGTGGTTGCCCCCACAACACAAACCCCACTCACTGACTACACCCAATGTTAACATAGTCATGCTACCTGTAATTGTAATCACATGAATAAGTGATAGATAAAAATGTTCACACGTTGTTGTTAATCACTCAGACTGAGTTGAAACGATATTTAAATTTTCTTACACCTTTTCCTTTTCCAGGATTTTTCTTTGTCATCAACCTGGTTCTGGTAACCGTCACAATGATCGTCACAGTGATCACAAACAGGATACGAGAGGCTGATACCCCCGTTTCTCCATGGCTTAAAATGGTAAGACGTATTTTATTTCACCATAGTTTGTTTCATTTATAAATTACTTCATTATAGTTACAGGTCGTGTCGTTTTAACGGTATTAAAACACATTTTTTCATAATCCATATTTGTTTTAATTCAGATTTCTTCAAAGTTTTTAAAAACTTCATTCCATCCCGTCTGCAAGTTTTTGACGTTTCGTCTAGGGTGTTAATGATTCAATTTTTACCCATTTGAGGTGGCTTTTTTAATGGAATCTAGTTGAAGACCCTGACGACTAATCAGCAATTTGATCCACTTCATTGGAAAGACATAAATAAATCAAATACCATTTGGTACACATATTATCAAGAAAGATGCTTGTTTGGTTGTAATATATATATGCATTTCTTTTCTTTTTAAATCATTTAATTTACTTATATATTTTTTGTATCGGAATGGTCTTGTATAATACGCCTCCTATCTTTCTGCATAAAAGGATCTCATGAATTGGTCATGTATGCATCTTTACAGATAGCCTTTAGTGTGCTTTCGCCACTGCTGTGTATGAAGATGCCATGTAAGCAGAAAGCCAGCCTCATCGACCCAGCTAAAAGCGGCACCGTCCCTGGGGAATGCTTACCTGACGTGACCTCCGCACCGAATACTGAAGACCAAATCTTAAATACAGCACTGAACACAAGTGACCCCCTACTGGCCATCATACGTCACAAGCAACTACTGCGCATGCGTCAGAAGGAAACTAAAGAGAAAATAGAGGAGGAGCGGCGAAAGGTGGCAGCAGTGTTCGACTGTTTATTTTTCTGGCTATTTTTAATTGGGTTGCTGGGAGTTTGCTATTGGATTGGCACCACAATCCGTAACAACACTTTTTCTAACATAAAGCAATAACCATGCAGCGACTGACAGTATATGTACTGTACGTCATAGCTTGGACCCATTAGAAACCATGGTCTGAGGATTGTTGCACGATATTTCAAAAGTGACTTTTTGCAAAGTAGTGCAGGTCACTTGGTCTGTTATCTCAATTATGCATTTAAATTAATCTTTGATTTTTACCATAGGACATCTAATGGGTCTAACCATACATCAAATACAAGAACGTATCATCGGACATGAGAAAAGATAAATTCCTAATTGAATTATCCGACTATTTATTTATTTGCCTTTATTTTCATTTTTATATAATAATTCATGTTTGATAATCAGACATTGAACATGCCAATGTATTCAAAATTTATTAGAGCCCAGGGTGTTTTCTGTGCGATAAAAGTTATATTTATGCCAATGCAATTGTATAATGCATTATTAGACCTACCGAAGGGTAGTATTTATACAATAGTGTTGTTGTTATTGAAGGTTGCAGTCATCTTTCAAATACCAAGTTCTGTATAGAACCATTGCTCTTCGATAACAATACATACAACAGAAAACAAATTCGAATAAATTCAATAAATACAATAAATTCAATGATGCTACCAAAACACTAGGCGAATTTAGAAGGAAAGTTTAAAAGAAATAATACAACTTTTCAAGCCCTTTTGTCTGCACGCTCCAAGCTTAAGGTAAATGTAATCGTCTACTGAAAGCGCAAATATACGTTAAAATACTTGCTATATATACCCTGTAGTATTAAAAGTGTAAGTGTTTAATATTCTAATTGTTGTTGTCATAACTATTATTATAAAATAAAACGTTTTCATCGTATGAACAATTTAAATCACCATTATTGGTCCTTTCTCTACTGTTTGCAGATTGAAAACAACGTACCTGTTATAACGATTTTTGAAACACTGTTTAGTCCACTTTTAAGGTGTAAAAACTATTGTGTTACAGTAAAAGTAGTATCACAAGTGTAAGCTATTATTAGGATTCCCCGTAGGGGAATACTATTGTTTTTGGTAGTATTATAGTTATTATTATTATTCTTTCCGCGCGTTTTTTTTCGCGAAAAATCTGAAATAATTTACATAGGTAGCCTATGGTAAGAATATGCCATAGACCCAGTTTCAGTGACCTTGACCTACTTTTCAAGGTCACAGAGGCTTTTAAAGGCAAAATTTGTAAAATTTGAAATTGACATTAGGCCTTAAGTATAAGCCGTATGGCTATGGGCCTTATGGTCAGTGATACTGAGGTGAATCCACATAAAATGACCTACTTTTATGCAAGTAGGTCAAGGTCAAGGTCGCTAATGGCCAAATGGGCTCAAAAAAGGTTTGTTTCCGAGATCTCGGAAACCGGAAGTCTCAGAGCCCCGGTCATAGTGGCAAATGATGCCCTATATATTTATCTAAGGTTAGCCGTACTTTGGTAGCGACTGCTTAATCACTTTTTTTAATATAGATTTTTTAATATTTATGACATTGCAGAAATCTTGAGTTTGGCAGTTTCTCCACGAAACACTGGTTTTTGGTCATAGCATGCTATAGTAAACTACCCCAAACATATACCCAAAACCCCCAAATCAAATGTCAAATTTGACCTTGACCCTCATTTTCAAGGTCTTTTGGTTATTTCATGGAGAAATATTGAAGTGGGCTAAAATTGATGTTTTGTTGACCCCCCCCCCCCCAATTCGCACAGAATATGGGGTCAAATTTAACCCATGACCTTCACTTGACCTTGAAAGAGCCTTTCCACACCTATTTTGCAGGGGAATCCTCCGCCACTGGCTTAAGCCAGTTGCAGTCTAGTTATTATTATTATTATTATTATATGGGCTTTAAAATCCTAATATGTTTAATATGCTTCATGATGTCTATTTATTTAGCTCGATAAAACGTTTTTAAATGTCATTATAGCAACGCAGGCTTTCATTATCATATTTTTTTCTGTGTAAGAGTGTAAATCTTCTTTTACGTTTTGTTTCTTGAATGCATGTATAAACAATAAAAATCACGTGTGTTGTTTCTTTCTCTTCTGTCTGCAGATTTCGAACTGTGTATACCGTTTTTTTTTTT